GAGGGTTGCGATCCGTTGCCGGACACGGAAAAAGACAAAAAGGAAAAAAAAACAAAAAAACAAAAAAACAAAACAAAAACAACAAAAAAAACCCCTTGGCTGGGTAGAAAGGGTCAGGGAAAGAGGGAAAAATAAGAATAAGGAATCATTCATTCAACAACAACAAAAAAAAACCCTTGGCTGGGTAGAAAGGGTCAGGGAAAGAGGGAAAAATAAGAATAAGGAATCATTCATTTCTTTCACAGGTTGAGGCCTTAAGAATTAATTCAATACTGAGGAAGAGAGCTGAGAGACAAAATGAAACCAGATCCTGGTCATGTGGCTTAAGCCTAGGGCCAAGCTCTGCCTCAACTGCACAGTTATGAGAGTTAGTAAGACCTCTTTACTGTTTAAGCCTGTCTGAACTGTGTTTAGTTATTCTCAAAACAAAGAGTACTAACTAATACAATATTAAAATTATATAAATCTTTTATTAACTGTGAATCGATATTTGTAGCCTACAGCAACCAGTTTTTAATACAGTAAGCAAAAATATTTCCTCAGGGATGAAATTATCTAGAAATATTCAAAGGTACTTTGTAATCTTTTCATGGATGTGTGTGGGGGGATGGACAGTAAGGAGAGAGACACAGTGACTAGAAATCTTTGTGAGCACACCCTATCATAGATACCAGATCCATTATAGTGACAAAGAATAATACTTCCATTTATTTTGGCTTTTGGAGAATTACATCTTTCATATCAGTATGATGTGCAGTATCTGAAAATTGCTGTTGACATATAACCAAAAAACACAACAAACATATATTTAAAGAAATCCACTAACAATATTTAATATGAAGCTATGGGTAGAAAAAGACCCTAGGTTTGAGAGGATCTTAATTAACAGCTTTCAGAACTGTATCTTTAAAAAGTTGTCAATAAAGTGTTAAGCGCTACCTTTCCTGATTTTTTCCATATAATACTGAAGCTGATCCTATGAAGCATAAAATACTGTTCAGCCTTAGTTATAATAAAAACTATAATTTATTGAGCACTTGTTATGTGTCAAGCACTGTGGCAAAATGCTTTATGTGCATGCACTCATTTGATGTCTATTTCTTCCTTGCTTCTTTTAGCAGGGCTTATTTTAAGATCCCACATGAAATATTATGAATAGCACTTTCCAGAATATGTTCTTAAAATGACAAGCTTGGGATTAACATTGGTGCCTTATTTCATGAAGATTTTTCCTCTTCCAACATTTGTAGACTCCATTTAATATAGCTAGAATGGCTGCAACTAATTAGTTAATTCCTGAGGCTGGATTTTGATCTCTGTTTAAGAGCTTACAATAGCAAAGAAAAAAAATTTTGGAAAACTCCAAATTTGCCACTATCTCAATCATATCAAGAAACAAGATGACTTGAAGAGCCCTTACTTACAGCAAGCTACCTCTAATAATCTTGCTCAGTATGTACTACAGAAAATGAAGCTTACGGGCCGGCCCGGTGGCGCACTGCTACAGGGCGCCGCTTGGGAAGTGCGGCGGCGCTCCCGCCGAGGGTTCGGATCCCACATACAGACTGGCCGCTCACTGGCTGAGCGAGGAGCGGGGGCAACACCGAGGGTTGCGATCCCGTTGCCGGTCCCGGTCCGGTACGGGCGCGACACTGAGGGTTGCGGTCCGTTGCGGGGGTCACGAAAAAAAGACAAAAAGACAAAAAAAAAAAAAAAAATGAAGCTTACAAATTTCAAACCAGCGCTACTCAGAGTGTGGTCTGTAAATGTGGCACCAGTCTGCAGTGTTATTCGTCCATGATGACATTTTCTACATCACTAAGTACAGTGCTTACTTCAGCTAACTTTTTTTCATAACAAGATTTTCTTAATAAAAGGGCTAATTCAAGCTCTTTATCCATCACAAACAGTCAATGGTTTGTGGACCAGCTGTTTTCAGTAACATTATTCTAGACCTCAATTTTGAATACCAACTCTGGTTTTCTATCTCTGCTGCCACACAAAATTTAAATGAATTCAACAATCGAACACTTAGCTTAAATAATTACTCAGTAATGGAAAAAGCAATAAAAATTAGCAATTAACCTCACCTTTGACAAAAGCAATTTCACACAGGAAACATGACCCTCGTAGACTGCCGACAGAAGAGGGGTAATATGATGTTTATCTGGAGCCTATGAAATAATAAAGAAAGAGATAAACTTATCCACTTTTTATTTCTTCCTTCTTTCCAGATCTAATTAGGGAATTCCTGTAAATATTTCAAAATCAATGTTTACCTATTTGCTTTACTACACACAATCAATACACACAAAGATAAGTTTCTAGACTATTAGAGGAGTAACCAGAGGCCAAACCTACAAGCAATGTCTCTCTTTGGGAGTCAGCGTAGTGAAGCTCAAATCTTGGCTCTGCCACCTATTGTGAGTCTCTCTGAGCTTCAATTCCCCACTGCTGAAAAAAGGACAATATGGTCCAGGAAAGGAAGGGCGGCAGGGAGGCAGGGGGGTTGGACATAGCTGATGAGGAGGTAAAAGAAGACTGCCACAATTTGGTCAGGTAACATGGTATCTCCTGAAATGTGAAAAGTTCATCTCAATTGTTGTCATGGTTACTTGAACATTTTTTCTAAAACCACAAAATGCAGAAGCTACAAAAGGCTGGAGTCAGATGACTATTCCTGTCTGATCACTGGACCTTTGTCTAACAATCCAGTTTAGATTTATCCTATGATTGTAGGGTTCTATGCACCATTACATGACAATCATTTGCTAACTTCAGATGGTGTTAACTCCCCAAGCTTTAGAATCTGAAAAGCAACAACCAAGGGGGAAACATCCTCTCAGTCTTATCAGCTTAAAAAAGTCAATTTGGCTTATTTTTTTAAATCCCAACTATATATTTCTAGGTTATAAGAAATTTGGTATATGAGTAATTTCAGACTGTATTCTTATTTAAAATGAGGTTTCTACAAGTACCTATTTAAAAATCTATAGAAAACAATTACAGTTTGGAGCTATTATGAATAAAGAGGCTATAAACATTAAAAAAAATCAATCACACACAGCAAAAAACAAGACTTTTTCTAGAAGATAATGCTCTCTACATACATTAATATCTGCTCCTTTCAGCAGCAGAAATTCCAGGATTTCAAGCTGCCCACAATCTGCTGCATAATGAAGAGGCTTCCTTCCGCCTTCCAGTGTCCGGTTGACATCTTCTCCCTTATGAGAAATCGCATGAAAACAATATTTATATTGATGGAAGACTGAGAATAATTAGGCATCTGACATTTTCACTTTCTTAAAGCTAAAGAGTTTCAATTACAGTTCTTGCAAATGTAATTACCCTGTTTTGAGCATCACTGTGTACATGTACTGAAATATAACTCTGTACTCCATAAATATGTACAACCAATATGTATTAATTAAAAAAAAGCCACAAGTGTTTCATGAAACAATTACATTTCTTGCAAAATGAAATAACCAAAAAGTTGAAATGAAATTCTGCATAATAGTTAACATGCAGTATGATAATAATTCAAGTCATGATTAGTTAAGCTGAAAATAACACACCATAATGCTAAATATGATAAAATATATTCCTGTGCTCCATTTCTAAGGAGTTCAATCAGCATGTCAATATGTGACCACATAACACTGGTGAGTTCAAGTACTGAAATTTTGCACAGTTCATATGATATGTGTTTTAATTCTTCAAAGAAAGCATCACTATTTTGCTACATGCAGCCATCATTATCATAAGGTAATCTCAGTATTAGCTATTAAGAATTTATTTCATCCATTCAACATTTACTAAAGCCCAATTGTATGGCAGGCACTGTGCAAGGCAATGAGATGAGACAATGGTGAGCAAAATCAGACATGACTTTCCACTGCATGGAGCTTACTATCTAGTGTAGGGGGCAGATATTAATAAAAGTCACATAATTAAATATATAACTTCTAAATATAAGTGCTATTAAAAAAAGGAACTCAGGGTTATGCAAATACTTATCAGAAGAACATGATATAATCTTGGTGATAAATGAGGGGGTTAATATCAGAAAATGAACTCAAGGACTAAAAAAGTAGTTTTCATTCATTGAGAATTAACAGAGACTCTAACAATAACAACTACAACTACCTCCTCTAGTGACCAGCTACTATACATTTGGTACTATGCTACATACATTATCTCTAATCTTCAAACTACCATAAGAGGTTAAAATCTCCATTTAATATATGAGAAGTCTGAAGCTGAAAGAAAACAACTCTTAGTGAGGTTCAGTTAGTAACAGAGAAGGGATCTAAACCCATTCTCTTTTTTTATTCATTCATTCATTCATTCATTCAATTTAATTTAATTTTATCAATATACAATGTAGTTGATTTTTGTGTCCCTTTACCGATTCCTCTTCTCCCCCCTCCCACCCATCAACATCATATCTGTTCACTTGTCTTAACAAGTTAAACCCATTCTCTTTCTATACCACCATGCTGCTTCAAATTCAATAGCTGCCCCTTTCCTCTTAAGGAGAGTTCATATTTGACAGAGCAGCAAAATATATGAAAGAGTTTACTTTCTCAACTATTATTCATTTTGCAGTTTGGTCAACTCATCAAGTCATATCCTGAATCAAGATGAAAAGGGGGAGGGGGAATTTAGATTGTCTGTTGAAAGAACAGCTGGCAATGGCCATAAAATGACAGGGCTCTGAACATCTTGATTCACACTAAAATTCCCCCTCCCCCTTTTCATTTGTGCCTGCTTCCCCCTTTTTTCCTCATTAATTTAAATACTATAGGTTCTCCAAGTCCCAACCAAATGCAAGATTTACCTTGTCTATGACATCTTCCATGGTTATGATGAGCTCTCCCTCCCTGAAAACCCATAGGAACTAGTTATTGCTTAAACAATTCACAGATAAAACTGGTTTTCTTTCCATTATTGTTTCCTTTCCATTATTAATATTAACTGGACAGGATTAACTGGACAGGTCCTTACAGTGAGACAAAACAAATAAATACTTGCAGTAAGTAATAAATAAGATGGTTTCATCAAAAAGATATTTCTCTGGATCAAAATGTTACACCCTCCCTTGCACTCTTAGTACAAAAATGAAATGGAGCTGTTGTGAATTTAAACTTTCTCCTTTATCCCTTCATACTTTTCCATTGCCAATTCTTATTTAAGCAGACAAAAAAATGACAGTAAAGGCTTTGTGTGACTGAAAGAAAAGAAAGGATCTTCGTCTGCAGGGCCTTAGCAAAGCAGTACTTGTGGAGAAATTTATAGCACTAAAAGCCTGTATTGGAAAAGTAGAAAATGCTCAAATTAATAATCTTTGTAGTTCCACTAAAAGAAACTAGGAAAAAAAAAAAAAAACCAAGCAAGTTAAATCCAAAGTAAGCAGGAGGAAAAAAATAAAGATCAGAGCCGAAATCAAAGAAACAGAAAACAGAAAGAAAAGAGAAATCAAAAACTGATTCTTCGAGATCAATGCAATTGACAAACCTTTAGTAAGGGTGATCAGAAAAAAAGAGTGAAGACAAAGTGCCAAAATCAGACCCTACAGACTACCCTCCCACAAAGAAACCTCCAGGCTCCAGATGGTTCCAGTGGTAAATTCTACCAAACATTTAAGGAAGAAATAACATCAATGCTACACAGTCTTTCAGAAAATGAAAGACATGGGAAGATAACTCATTCTATGAAGTAAGCATTAGTCTGATTCTAAACAAGACAAAAAGATGTTACAAGAAAATAACTCTATAGGCCAATATTTCTCACGAACACAGATGGAAAAATTCTACACAAAATGTTAGCAAATTGAATGCAACATATATAAAAAGTAATATACTGTACCATGACCAAGTGTACAGTTTCATCATTTTAACAAACTAAAAAAGAAAACCATATGATTGATCATCTCAGTAGATGAAAAAGCATCTGACAAAATCCAACACCCATTCCTCATAAAAACTTAGCAAACTAGGAAAAGAAGGAAACTTCCCTGGCCTAATATGACTAAGGGACATCTACAAAAAACCTACATCTAAGATCATACTTAATTGGTGAACTGAATACCTTCCTCTTAAGATAAGGAACAAGACAAGGACATCTGTTTGTATCATCTCTTTTCAATGTTGTACTGGAGGTTCTAACCCCAACCCCTACTGACCTTAACATATGCATTCTGCTTCTGTACAAATTGCTTGCTAAAATAAATGGGGAATCCAGGGTGGGGAGGGGCTACAGGGCTAACCACAAAATTAGCTTATGTACTGCTGGCTTGCTTGCATTGGCTAGATTGTGTCAGGCGTGAAAAATTCCCGCCTAGCTAAAAATAAAAGCTGCGAGAGGTTTCAACTCGGGGCTGCGCTTCTCGATTGGCCTGCGTAGCCCTGGCTGCCAGAAATAAACTCTTTTCCTTTTCCTATCACCTGGTTCTCGTGGGCACATTTCTTTTACTCGTTGGACGTTGGCTATAACAAGGCAAGAAAATAAATAAAAGGCAACCACTTTGAAAAGGAAGAAGTAAAACTGTCTTTATTTTGCAGATCATGTGTTGCTTTG